CATGGCCATGGCCAACGCATTGTGGGAATATTAAACTCGGCAAGATATTGTTATACAATCCTGGCTGTATGCCCTATGCTCTGGCATTATCATGCATAAAAACAAAATTCTCACCGACAAAAGGTTTTTTCAGAAATAATTTTAGATAAAACGCTGACTTTTACCATCCGAAAGAGTTACCGCACGCACAGAATCTTCAAAACTTAAGATGCGATTCTGATTCTGACATTCTGATGAAGTAATTCTGATATTCATTATAAAATAATAACATTTTGTTTCAAACGTCATAATTTTGACAACTCCCAACAGCCTGTTTTCTTTAAAGAGTATAAAAAGGTAAATAAAACATGCAGTTTTATTAAAATGTGTCTCCTTTAATCAAAGAGATAAAAAGTTAAATCAAAAAAGAGAATCATAAGAATAGATAAGGCTATAGTTAATTCTTTTTTAGAATTTGTTATTACTGCCACTTTTATCCACGGGGTGTTTCAAAAATTTTGAAAAAAATCAAGTATCAGTATAACACCCCGTATACAAAAGAAAGAAAGATTTATAAAAGAACTATAGTTATAACAACATTATCTAAGAGTTATTACACAATCCAAACATCCAAAGAGCATAAAAATCGAATGATTGGTTCTGAAAATATTTAGCAACAAAATAATGATAAATTTTTGGCGATGCGTTAATTTCTTTCGCCAGTGTATATATGTGTATACTTGTACATATGTGAAAAATCTTTATTTAAATAAAATATGTTAAAAATTTTTAAACTGTTTATTTATACCATAGTATATTGTCTAATCTATAGATTTATTATAATATATTTGAAAAGATTTAGAACCTACTTATTTTATTAGGGATGTTCCGCTAAAAAGTTTATTAGGGTATAAAAACGATCACCCAGTATATTATTTTTACAAAATTTATTTATTTAATAGTAGCATTTTTTGGAACAACTCGTTTAATAACCTTCCCTAGACACTTGTTTTTATTAAACTTGCAAGCTTCGCTCGTGCCTAATAAAACTCGTAACTAAAATGGCATTTATAAAACTTGATACATAATATACTATTAAATTCAATTCAATTTTTTTTACTTTTAACTCCGTGTACCTCAAAAACTATTGAACTCTCAATTAATAGTAAGCATTATTAGCATATTATTATACGAGCCCTAACCACAAAATGTTCGGACACTTCATAATTTATACAGAAATATTTTTCGTGAATACTATCTCAAAATTATTAGAAGTTATGAAAAATTCAGCTTATTTTGGCATATACCCCTCGAAGCGATTTTTATTTTTAAAAAGTTTACCATTTATATTTAGCTTTTAAAAAAAGGCTAACTTTTAAACTTTTTTTTGTATGAGTAAAAAAAGTTATAAATGGTCCCATTAAAAAGAACATAAAATATTATACAAACCCTGAAAATTTGGTAAAAATTGTATAAATAATAAGAAAGTTATAACGATATATATATCTGCAAAATCTCCCGTTTCCTAAGAAAATTGCAAAAACTCTTTAAAAATAGCATTTTTAAATTACTTATACTTTTTTATAACTTATTTATTTTTTACCAAATTTTCAGGGTTTGTATAATATTTTATGCTCTTTTTAATGGGCCCATTTATAACTTTTTTTACTCATACAAAAAAAAGTTTAAAAGTTAGCCTTTTTTTAAAAGCTAAAAATAAAAGGTAAACTTTTTAAAAATAAAAGTCGCTTCGAGGGGTATATGCTAAAATGAGCTGAATTTTTCATAACCTCTAATAATTTTGAGATAGTATTCACGAAAAATATTTCTGTATAAATTATAAAGTGTCCGAACATTTTGTGGTTAGGGCTCGTATAGGACCAAAAGTTAATATTTTTATGCAATCTATATCTAAATAAATTTTATAGATTTTCGTACCTTTCCTTTTTGGCGCCATTTTGGTTCCACGTTTTTCCAAAGGCAGGAATAAAAAAAAATTATAGGTTTTGAAACTTTCTAATAATAAATAAGTGATTTGATGAAACTTTTTTAAAAAAAATATTTTTTAATACTAACTTATTTTTTAACCAGGGCATATGCGCACTATGGCCCGTATAAATTCTCGGAATAAAATAAAATATAATTTTAATGTAATTTTCGTTCAAAAAAATCAAGTTTTATCAAGCCATACATTCTTATTCAATATTAAACATTTCAAAATAGAATCAAATCGATTTTTAATTGTATTTACATTTTTTACGTGTTGCATATTCCAATTTTTAATAACCTTTGATATCATTTATTTACAATTAGTTAAAACATTCCTAAAATTGTATAATTGTAAGCTATTATTCCAGTTAAAAAGTTTAAAATGTAAATGAAAATGTAATTAGATTTAGACGATTTTTTCTTGTAAAATTCTTAATTTCTCAAGTTATATGTATACATCCATTTATTGACCACTGAAATTACATTACATTACATTTAAAATTATTGTGAATCTGAAGTTGTTCATACAAATATGTTTGAAAATTTTGCAAAATCATCCTCCATGGCCTAAATTTGTCATGTCCAGGGACGTAGCGAAGGTTTCCATTATGCATAATGGGAACCTTAAGGTTCGCTAGGTCCCTTGACTGGACAAATTAAGGCAAAATCAATAAAAGTAATCATCAAGATAACAAGCTAATATATAATTATTTAATTCTAAAAATATCTAATTAAAAACATAATAAAAATATTCCTATTGTTAATTAAATATAATTAAAAACGCGTTGATACCACGTACAATTTAATTACATTTTTTGTTTTGTTTTTGTTGTCATTCAAGTTCATTATTATTTCCTAAAAACGTAAAAACCCAAAATTTTGTTCCTGAAATTAGTTTTTAAGCCCTTGCCACTGGTATTAAATAATTTAAATATGAAACGACATACTACTGAAAGGCGCCAGGACGTCTCCTTTTTTTGTATAAGATTTTATTTCTTACCTATTTTAATATATATGAGTACCTGAAAAAACATTTTTGTATATCCACTACATGCATTTTGAATGGGTATGGGGGATTATTTTTTACACACAAGATTTTTAAAGGAATTCAAAAGTGGCCATTCTATATTTGTGATTACAAAAAAGACCCTAATGAGAAGATTTTCCATAAAATAAAACAAGTTTCAATAAAACTGATTTAAAAATATTTATCTTCAAGTTAAAATTAAGGCTTTATTATTGTCAACGCTCACTAGCAAAGTATTCGATTATATCCTAGGCTGTAAAAATAATTTAGACCAATCAGGAGAAGTTTTTTACATCCTAGTCTGTAAAAAACCGTTGGGACCAATCAAAAAATTGTTAATACTTTTAATTATTGTTATTATAATTCTATGTACGTTTTATACATTGTTTAACAAATAAAACTGTATCATTTTCTCGCACGCAAATCAGTTTTTTTGTTGCTGATTTATTTAGGTATACTATTTGCCAAGATTTTGAGAATAATGTCGAATAATAATTTAGAAAGAACTTATAACTTTTTACATTTGTTATGTAATATATATACGTACCATATTGGGTTTGTTAAATTTTTTTTAATAGTTCTTTAATAATAGTACCTATATTATTATAAGAGAAGTAATGCGCATTATCTATACTATACTTTATCTTCTTCAATAAGTAGATAACTAAACGATTTTCAAAAGAAAATAAATAAAATCTGACATCTGTCAAATGGTTAACCTCACTTTTTACAAACTTTAAATGTTATTATAGTCGCCTTCTCCTATAGGAGAAATTATAATTTAAAACCCGATTGGTTTAAATCAAATTGAATATTGAAATGGGCCAATCAATGATGCCTAAAAACGTTAATTATTCCCGTTGTTAGGCAGGAAATGTTTATTATTATATACTGAAAAACCTGATATTATGCCTTAGGAGTAGATAAAAAATTATGTTCTTCACAAAAAACACATTTTTTATTATAATAAATGCATAGGTATTCTTATTTAGGATTTTAATACTTATTTAACATAATAATTTTGCTGAATTAAAACCAACATAAATACATGTATTTAAAATTATATTTCGAAATTAATAATATAATTAAAACCGTTAACTAACGTTAATTATCTTAATATGCTTTTTATTTAATATATTACATAAATTTAAATTTTGTTTTGGAAAATTAGGTACCATCTAAAAAATTTAATTTAACCGTTTTTAGTTCTCATAAAATGATTTTTTATGAAAGTTTTGAATTTAGCACAAATAAGTATCAACACACTATTGACTTTTGTTATACCTAATACTAAAAATATATAGTATATTTTTTAAAGATGAATGAAATATTTAAATACAAAATAATTTTTCATTGTCAAAAGAAAAAAAAAATGTGTAATACGTTAATAATAGTATATTAAAGAACTAATGTCATATATGACTCATAAGACAACATTTTTTCGCACTAGGACAATTTACAAAACGAGCGACGAAGGAAATTTTAAGAAAAATTCAAATTATAAATAATATTTGCGTCTCGTACTGTTGTAATGTATCGTACTGTTGCATACGCATTTGCGTTTCGTACTGTGCTTATTATGGTATACAAATAAAAAAAAATAATAATTACACTCGATAAACCCCAAGTGGTTATATAATCATAATTCATAACTATAATTACATTTCATATTAATATGATTTTATTATCTAACATAAATAAACTAAACGCAAAAAACAAACTACGATAAAACTTATTATTACACCCTAATAAATAATCCAACAATCCAAATTAAACGTACAACACCTGAATTACAATCTAAATTTAATATACATGATAATCTATTTTATTAAGTTCTATTATATCGCACTGGCGTGTTTAACCCGTTACTGCGCACGCGCCGCATCCGCACAGCTGTGTATCCGCCGTTCCATTGGTCCATACATTGGGGGAGGCGCTTACACAACCCCAACTCTAATAAATGTACAGGTGACGGATTTTGCAGTCAGTTGCACGCTAACGTCCTGTCAGACAGCATATACATTGAATTAAGATATTTTGTGTACTGTACCATTGTGTATATTGTGTTTGTAGTGTTGGTTCGAATATTTTTTTTTGGGATTTTTTCACTGTGACAATGGCTCAAGAAAGATCCACCAATATCGGCTACAGCATCGATCATTTGCTCGGAAATAACTCACCACCAAAGGAAGTTCTGGAAGGTAAGTCGGGATTTTTGATTTTGAAAATTTAGGGGTTTTTGGGGTCCAGGTTTAGGATGTTATGTGTCATTAAGAGGATGTATTGCGTTTAATGCGAAAATTATAAAGATTTCTTGAGATTTCAAATGATATTATAAACGAAGTACACATATAATTTTAAAATTATTATGTTATGATAATAAAAATTTGTATAACATAAATTTTTGGTTTTAAATTTAAAAATTTAGAGTTTTTTATGAAGCGACTGGTAAAAAAATAAATAATGTTAGTTGATTTGTTGAGTAATTATGGGATTAATTTGAGTTTGTATAAAGTTAATATTCTTTGTATGGCGATAGAATTTTATTATAATGAAGCTATAATCCCCATTAAAAAAGGATCTAGAGCGTTTTTCACATGATATAACGTATTAGGCCTTATTGAATGGGGGATGAAACTTGCTAAATTAAAATAGGGGAGAATTAGGATTGAAGAAATAAAAATGTTAACGAGGGGATACTTACGAGTGCTTCGAGTTACCTGGTGATTTGAAATTGCCCTCTTCTTTATTATCGCTCAGACAATGGCTAAAAAGTACATTGGATAACATAAACATTTTGAGTTTAATCCCTATTGTGATTTAAATGTTGTGCCGCATCTCTTTTTTTGTTAATAAAATTTAATCTGTCTGAATGCGAATTAAACGTAAATAAAATTGCGCTGTGCTATTTCGGAAATAATCCTTGTTTTAAATTCGGGAATTTTAGTTGGACATAATAGGCTTTGCGAATGCTCGAACAATTCGGTTTTGGCTTTTATACGTGCATACGCGTATATATTCGAATAAGATTACCTTTAGTTAACATTATATATCGCTTTTCCGAGTGTTTCAACCGATCTTGCTTTAAAATCATTAATTTTGTATTCATGGGCCGGCGAAATCCAGTTATGAACACATACACATCCAATCAACATGCAAATTTAACTCTCCACACCTCTCTACAACGTTATTTTATTAATTTTAGAGCCTGAATCTCCAGTGTTGGAGGAGGATGTAAACGATGACATGGACAGCAATCGCCCACGTAAAATTAGACGCTCCAGGACGACCTTCACGACTTTCCAGCTCCACCAATTGGAAAGATCCTTCGAAAAAACTCAGTACCCGGACGTTTTCACGAGGGAAGAGTTGGCCATGAGGCTTGATCTTAGCGAGGCCAGAGTTCAGGTAATTATCCATGATTATTAGTGATGTGTTTCCATTGTTCAAAGCTAAGTAATGGAATAATACTGTAATTGAACAAATAATTAATAATGCAGTGCGCATTCAAAATTAATTAGGTTCAAAAATAATTTTCATAGCTCGAGTGAGTGACTAATTGTTTAATCGATAAAAATATGAATGAGTAAAAGGAAAAGAGGGAGGGAAAATTAGTAACAAGTGCAATTCTCTTATATTAAATGCACTCAAGATAATCTGGCGTAATTATTAAATTGCGTCCCATTGTTTAGCAAATTAGCATGAACGTTTATTTGCTGATAAAAGAGTAGGAATTTCAAACGAAAATACAGCCCGTAAAACGGTCCATTTAACCAGCAATTGCTTCTTGATTGAAATGTTGAAGATATTTACGACCATTTACGAAGTTTATTGGCTACATACGACACCAAAGCAGCAAACAGAGAAATGTGGATTATTAATAACGGCGATTTAAGTATAAAATAGTTATTGTTATGATAGAGTGGCCGTATCACGTATTAACAATCCACATTGTGCCCCTCGATTTGATTGGGTTATTGAATCGGTAATTCTCGTATAATAATGGACATGAATTGCCATCTTAATTGGCAACATTTTCGCTAATTAATCCGGCAAAATTGCCCATTGTTAGCCACAATAGGAGCAATCGGAACTCTCTCTCTCTCCCTCTTCCACTCTGATGTCTCATTTAAAGTGGATTCTATTCTAATTGCCCTTTTAGCTATGCTTTAATTCACTTCTTATACACCCCGGCATTAACTAACGTTTTCATTTTTTATTTGCAGGTCTGGTTCCAAAACCGCAGAGCAAAGTGGAGGAAGCGCGAGAAGGCCATGGGCCGCGAAGTACCATTCGTACCACCAAATGAACAGGTTAGCATGATGGAATACCCATCCCTACACCCATTGGGTCTAACGGAACAACAACAATACTGGGCCCAGATGTATGGTTCTTTATACCCAGCCGCTCTCCAAATGTGGCCACCAAAAATGCCACAACCCGTTGGATTCCATACTCTTCTCCACCGTTACGTTCTAGCTGGAGGAATGCCGCCTTTGAACCTCGTGCCGCAATCCAACGATAGGTCGGGGAGTTCGAGTCCGGAATCTGGCACCCAGTTGTCTCCCCAGTTATCCCCAGCTGCCCTAGAAGCGTTTCGGATGAGGACGGCTGAAATATTGGCGCCCAACCGCGTTGGTTGAAGACAATATATCTCTAACTATAATAAAGTAGCGTTAAGTTGAATTGTGATATAAAATTTCGTATTTATTGACCATGTAAATATAGTTTAAACCAAAGAGATAAGGTATTCAAGTATAAGGTTAGAAACAATTTAATAAGTAGTTTTTGGCAATGTTACCTGTGATAGGATAATAAGCGAATATGAAAATTGTTTCTATAGCGTAATCAAACGTGTAAATATTATTGGATATGTATGTATGCTTTAACCCCCCGATCGATTTTTAGGCGTAGGTTACAAAAGATGTATTTATTTGCGTATGACTTTTATTTTGTGTGATTTATAGCGATATCCACTATAAATATGTTTAATATAATATATAATAATAAATTGTTAAAATTTTATATGAACCTGGTGTCTCATTTTCAATTAAAACCCATCAAAAGCCTTTTATTATTATCTAAAAAATTAAATTAAAACTTTAAAATTATCTTTAAAAACACTTCAATAAAAAGAAAAATGTAAAAAAGTAATTAAAAGTTTTTTATTAAAGAAATAAGAAAGAGCAATTTTCCAATTAGTTATCTATAGAAACATTATTAAGGAGCCTTGTAATAAAATTGAAACTTTTAAGCAAAATTTAATTAAATCGTTTACTACCAAACTCGAACGGCACAAAATAAATTTCTATTAAACTATCAATCTTTCAGAAGTAATCCCTGTTAAATTTGATTGAGAAAACTTTATACAATAAAGGTAAATACATTTAAGGGTATATTTTTTAGTTAATTTATTATTATTATACTTCATCCTTATTAAAAATACAATAATATTTTGCCCACGCAGTCTTTATTTCGGCTATTATTTAGATAAAAGAATACAAACTAGAGTTTTACTTATTATACATGCAATGTTTGAGCTGTCTGTTTCAAGCAATGCTACCCCAAATTTTAGTGGTAAATGATATTTTGAAGTATTTTATTATAATAAACAAGCAATGTTAATAGTGTTTTTCTACTCCCACCTTTAAAACGCCCTTTATCGTACATGTTTCCATGACACTAAGTGACCTTTTAAATACACATTGACAAGTTGTGGCTTTATGGCGCTTTAGTCACGGGCTGAAGTTAGCAACAGGTTTTTAGTCACGGGCTGAAGTTAGTTTTAAGTTAGTTGACAGTTGTCAAATGTCATACAATCGTTAAAAGAAATTGCCTTTCTTGTAAAATAATACTAAATGTGAAAATTATTTTATTATCTCAGTACAAAAATACAAAAGTATTAAATAGTTTCTCAACGCCAATATTTGAAAAGTTTATATAAACATTGTACTGACCTTTTATCTTCGCCGGCAGTAAACTATAACTTAAATTCGGGCACGGACTCCACTGTAAAGTGCTCATAAATAATTTTCTTTACTTTCACTGTGAAAAACTGTTAATTTTCAAGAAATACATTTCGATTTAAAACCTTTATAATTGTGTTTATAAAATTTGACATTTGACGGTGACACACAGATTCCCCTATTGTTTCATAGATGGCGCTCTATACAAATTTTTGATTTAAATCATTTGATGATATTAATTTGTCGTAGAAAAAGTATAGTATGCACCTCGTTTATAAACTTTTCTATACACTCATTAATTTAAGCACTCGCTCGCAAGCTCGCTCGTGCCTAAATTAAATTCGTGTATAAAATGGCGTTTATCAAACTTGATATAATAGTATAGTATATATATTATGTATACATAATATATATACTATACTATTATGGAAGTGTCGATTTAAATCCACGATGAAATTAATAAAAATAAATATTGTAATAATTACCTACAATTATTGAAGGCTATGCTTTTAAGTTTTCAACTATATAAAGCATTTTTTGTTTTCATAGTCAAATTTGAGACTATTTTAATAACAAGATATATCTTCTATCAAAGGTGGTCCGAATAGAACTCTTTTATCAAAACCAAATCATTCGCATGGTATTAAAATAAAATTAATAAAGCTACATCATCAGCTTCAACGAATTTGATTTAGTTTCCATTGATAAGAGTCCATGTGGGTCCTAGAATGGAACCGCGGGGCGCCCCAGGTGTTGGATGGGACCAGATTAACAACCACAAGTGCTTCAAATTCGTATGAATATTCATGTAGGTTCATTGAAGGATTTAAAATACAAGTATACAGTTTGTGAGCAATTTAATACAGTGGGTGGCATATCAATAGCGTTTTGACAAAAAAACAATTGGAAATGTAAGAAACATAAAATACAGAGTGCACCAAGTACCCTTCTATGTACCTATGGGTATATTTTTTATTTCAAGAGCTATATGGTTAAATTAAAGAATTGTGTAAATAAAACTGTAATAAAATGCCTTTTCAGAATTGGAAAAAAAATGAGGGCTTCCCAAATATTTTGAAAAAACTGAAAACCTTTCAAAACCAAAAAGCTTTATAACTTTAAAGTTATTTTTGGGAGTTTTTATCCAATTTGCAATTCTAAATCGTGCGATCTAGTCACACTTCGACACAAAACTTCCTTCCCCTTACACGTGTGACGTACTTTATGGACTGCCCTTTTAATTACACAATACAGAAACAGACTAGTTTTGAAATAATCATAAAAGCCATTATTTTTACTTTAAAAAATGTAATTGCTAGAATAATATTGGTCAAATAGTCGCACAGTATATTTTATTCAACTACCGCAAGAAATTTAAAAACAATTTTATTTGATTCTTTAACTGACATCTGAAACCTGTCGAGCAGTATTAACCTCACTTTTTTCAATTTTAACTTAAAGCTAACTTCAGTTCACTAGTGGATGTTGAATAAAAATTCTTTGTTTAATTATAATTTAATCAATAATTATTGATAGCTAAAAACTAAGCTTTAAAAAATACAAATTAAATTAAATTAATTAGTTTTTTATTATTTCCTATTTGTTATTATTATATAACTAATTAGTATACTATAGATACATCTTATTATAAAGTATACTTACATAATTAAAAAAGAAATTGGATAAAAATAAATTTAACGCAATCTCATAAAAACTTATTTTTAATTAAAGTGTTTACAATAGACTTAGCAAGAGAAAAGAAAAAGTTTTAGAATACACATATTTTCAACTATCGAGTGCCTCGAAATCTCTTTTCAATAAAAATTTAATTGATGATAAGAAGCTAACAGAGTACAGAACAGGTCCGAAATAAAAAAAAGCCGAGCGAGGCTGGGTTCGAGTGCAATCGAAAAACAAAAGAACAATTTAATAAGGATCAAATTTGGACCGGAGCTTTATTTGCCTACTGGATCGGTTTTAAGCCACTTAGATCTTTATTATGGCCCCTCCCCTCTTTTCTTTTTCTCCCTTGTTCCTCCTTTTTTCGCACATTACTGTTGTCTACCTTCTGATACACCTATAACAAGAAATTAAATGCTGACATTAAACATGAAAAACAATCACCTTTATTTAATGTGCAGAATATTGCTCATTTTGTTCCTGGCACTTTTCATTGATGTGATAAAAATAACCAATGCTGTTGTAAAAGTAACCCGTGAGGTTTTATTAGAAATTGTATGATTTCAAATCACATTGTCGTTAATGTTTACGTTTTACTGTTCTATTTTTCCGTGTAGATAACGTTTTTAATGGAAATAAGGAATCAAGAACAGAAACGTTTGGTATTGAAACAAAACAACTATCAAAACATAAGTATGGAAACAGTACTCTCTAAAAATAAATTAGTCTAAAAATTGTCATAGCCAAAAAGCAGCCACTAATAATTCCTGTCAATACCTATTTTCGGATTCAGGGAACAATTTTATATAAGAATTGGCTGTTAAATGTTGGGGATACCATGGTGGAAAAGCAGCCACTGATAACTGTAGTAACTCATTTTGACTAATTCATTTTTAGAGAGTTTAGAAAGCAACCAAATTATGAACAAAACTGTAACTATATATAGAAACGACCGGCAATGACGCTACTTCCCCTACTTTAACCCTACGAAAAGGATACAGTCTCAGTTAAAAATGAATTGTATATGTGTGGAAGTATGCGGCTAAGGTCAAACCATTAAAAAAATGCCCCAAAAATATTTAATTTACAAAGAGATATCATTAAATTTTTTATATTATTTAAGTATAAAATGAATAATACCTACAGGGTTTTCCATTTAGAGGTTTTATTTTTAAACATTCAATTTTCTTAGTTTCTTTAAGAAAACTATTACCGGTAATATTCATAAGAAAGAATTGCACTACACTGATGAGAACTAATATAGGTCGAAACAGCTGTCTGTCGGTATTTGAAGTTGGTGGAACGCACTCAAAACAAAAAACTTTGGCGAGGTGTAGGTTCAATTCTTTTTGGTTTTATTTTTAATAGCCCGCTATGTTGTCATCTGTTCAAAAATGCTGTGATATTTTGATTGATGTTAAGTAAAAATTGGGTATTATTAATTTCACCGAAAAATCATTCTGAGCGATGAGACACATTTCCATCTTGAATGGTTTGTTAATAAACAAAATTGTTGCATTTGAAACTCAGAAAAACCAAGAATGATTGTTGAGAAGAACCTTCATCCATAACGTGTTTGATATGTTTTTTTTGCAGGAGGAATCGTTGAGTCTGAGTGTGCAGGAGGTCGTGGAGCATATTTGGCTGATAATGTTTTTTTATTAAATTGGCAAACCTTCCTCTATTGATCAAAATAAAAATCAAATTATATTTCATAAAAAATACGTAATTTTTTGTTAAATTCAAATAAAACCTCTAATTGGAAAACCCTTTATAAGAGTGTCTACTACTGTTCTATTGCTATTGAAAAACATCGTTGGCGAAAAGTAATTTAAGCACTTTGTGTTTAGTTTTGGTGTATTTCTAATATTTGTTTATTATTTGCATAGATGGGGAAATAGTTTCTAATAAAATCGATAACATCAAACAAATTTAATAAAGTGGGGTATTTTTATTAATGTCAAATGAGTCAGGTCCGTTGGATGTGAATTTGCCAATAAAAAGGAAAAGAATATCTGACGTGCAAATATTAATATCGACACCCTTATACAAGTTAAGTTAATTTCTAGAAAACTAATAAAAACGTACTTGGCATTTTTTTATTACATTCCAATATGTATTTTTTATAGGTGCCTAAATAACTTGGATATAAAAGTGCATGTTAAAGCTTTTTTTAGTTAATAAATTTAAAGTTTATTCTCCAAATGCACACAAAATTTGAACCCTACTTGCATGTCAACCAAGATAAATTAAATTTATCAAAATGGACAGTCAATCAAAATAAACCTGCATAAACTTGTCCA